GGAGGCGGCGGAGAAGGTGGAGCACCAGGGCTGGCCCTGGGGTGGCGCGAGCAGGGGCCACACCCAGGGCCCAACGTCCAAGGGGACCCAATTTTTCATTTTTTTTATATATACATATTATATATTTTATCATATGCAAACTAATTATTTTGTAGGGTTAATAGCATTTCGCCACCAGAATTTTTCCCATTTTTGCACTTTACCACCTTAACTAAAAAAAGTTGCACGGGCACACCCAAACCTTCATTTTTAATGCACATAGCCACCTCGGGCGAATATTCCGGCAAATCTTCTCATATTCCGGCTCACGCGAGCACATGCTTAATGTAAGGATTTTTTAGTCTTTTCCACTCCAAAATTTTGTGGGCTTGTTCTTCTCTCTTTCTTTCTCCTCCCTCTTTCTCTCTTTCTCTCTCTTTCTCTTTCTCAAACGCACACTCATACAGACGAAGTAGAAAAAAAAATCCTCCCTTGCCACCAGATCCCCTTGGGCTTCCAATCCTCGGATATTTGTCATTTCTTGGCAACAATTTATTTCAAAAGGTCACAGATTTGAGGCACAAATATGGTCCAATATTCAGGATTTCTCTTAGGAACAAACCGTGTGTTGTAAAAGGGGTGGTTCGAGGTCAAGACTCCATTTTCACTAATTGGGACATTCCTGCTGTAGCAATTGTTGCCACTTATGGTGCAAACGGCGTCGTCTTCTTTCTCCCAGCTCAATCCGCAGTGGCGAGCGATGAGAAAAGTATTCGCTCAAGAGATGATGAACATCAAAAGTCTTGACTCATTCTATAATCTTCGCAAGGACCATGATGATAACCCCGTCGAAATTGGGCCCTTTATTTTCCGAAACGAACAAAAGGTCATGATGAACATGTTGTGGGGTGGGAAGTTTATAGGTGAAGAGGGCGAAGGAATTGCATCTGAGTTTCTGGTCGTGGCACCAAAGATTGTTGATTTGTTTGGAAAGCCGAATATTTTCGATTTCTTTCCACTTCTTGATGGGCTTAATATTCAAGGAGTAAAGAAACAGATGAATCATAACCTTTGTGATGAGAAATGTGAACAAATTCTTTCTCATGATGAATTCTTTTTTTTTTTTTTGGAGTAATATGTGGAGAAACAGAGCATCAATCTTAAAAAACAGAAATTCTTGACCAAGGCAAGGAATTAAAAAAAGAAATTGTTAACGATGTTCTCCAAGTCAACATATTAGAGATAAATTAATATGAAAGAGAGAATTATAGTTCAAAGCAAATTGCATAAATCATCAAACTAAATTTCATGAGTAGAAAGATTTTTATTCTTAGAGAATAAATGTCTGTATGTGTGTGCGTGTGAGGGAGAGAGACAAAGAGAGAGAAGGAGAAAGAAAGAGATAAAAGAACAGGGGCCCACAAAATTTTGGAGTGGAAAAGACTAAAAAACCTTAAATTAAGCATGAGCAACGCGAGTGCGCCGGAAAATGAAAACATTCGCCGGAATATTCGTCCAAGGTGGTTATGAGCGTCAAAAATGCATGTTTGGGTGTGCCCGTGCAACTTTTTTTAGTTAAGGTGGCAAAACGCAAAAAACGGGCAAAGTATAGGTGGCAAAATGCTATTAACCCTATTTTTTATTGATTAAAAAAGATATTCTTTATTTTTTCCATTTTTTTTGTTCTTCTATTATTATTTAAAAAAAATTAGTTTAAAAATAGATGTAAAATTTAGGGCAAATTACACCTAAACCCTTGAGGTATACTAAAGTAACTTTAAGGTCCATGTGGTATGTAATTATAGCCACACCACTGAAACAATTACGGGAGCCAAAAATTCATGTCATGGGAACCGATATGCACTATATCCTTTTCCCGCGGGACCGTTAAAATTGCAATTTATCCCGTTTCAGTTTCTGCATTTTTTCAAAATTTCAATTTGGTCCCTTAGTTTAAAAACTACTTGTTTTAGGACTTTGGGCCTTTTCTTTTTGGATTAATAGCATTAAACCACCTATACTTTGCTCGGTTTTGCGGATTGCCACCTCAACATTAAAAAAAATCCGATGCCCCCTGTACTCAGTAAGTTGTTGCAAGTTACTCTTTTTTTGAATTTTCAGGCCAAAATGGCCGGAATTGCTCACACGTGCGTTGAACATGCGATCTAGAAGGGTTATTTGGTCTTTTCTCTATTCCCCCTTCATTTACGTCTAATTCATCACTAATTCTTCTATATTTCCTCCACTTCTCTCTTTTTCTTCCTCCTACAAAATACCAAAAATAATTTTCTTTGAAGATTTAAAACGCCGAAATGTTATATTTAAGTTGCAAAGTCGAATATTTATTTAAGATCAAAAAAATCAAATCTTAGTTCTCCCAGAAGGTAACCCCTCATTCATCTGCGGCGGAATTGCAATCGGAGAATATTAAAAAAAAAAAAAAAAAAAAATCAAATCTTTGTTCTCCCATGAGGCAATCTCATTCAACTTTGGAGGAATTGCAATCGGAGTATGCATCTCACAGAGAATCGCCGACGGCGCCACTCTCAGCTCATTCATCACCCATTGGGCCGCCACCGTCCACAGTGATCAACCCAACCTGATTTCATATTCTCTTCAACTCATCCATTATTATTTCCCAAAAACACCTCCGATTTCAATCCCATAACCAGCCTATCAATCAAGCAACCCATCTCCACAAAATTCGCCACCAAAAGATTCACCTTCACCAAATCATCCATAGAAGCACTCAAATCACACGTCACAGAGAACTGCCCCAACATTCTCCAACCATCCAGAATCGAGGTCGTCACGGCGTTTGGGATAATCATCGGCGATTACGTGGAGAGGCTGATGGAGGATAAGGGATTCGGTTGGCTAAGAAAATGGCCTCGTTTTAAAAAAAGAAGGAAGAAGAAGAGAGAATGTGGAGGAATAAACGAGAAAAGAGAGAAATTGAAGGAAATAAAATATGAGGTTCGGAAATTAGGGCTTGTGATTTTGAAAAGACAAAAAAACCCTTCCAAATCGCATGTGCAACGCACGTGCTTTCATTTCCGGCCATTTTGGTTTGAAAATGAGAAAAAAGGGCAATGTGGCACAACTTATTGAGTTCAAGTGGCATCGGAGTTTTTTTTTTTTTTTTTTTGGTGAGGTGGTAATCCGCAAAAACGGGCAAAGTTTAGGCGGTTTAATGCTATTTACCCTTTCTTTTTTGCAAAAACTTCCCCTGGGTATTTATGTCTTTTCACAATTCGTCAACGGAAAAAAGGTAAATGAGTCAAGTTTGCTGTCTAAAAATAAGCACAGGGGGCAGTTGTTATTTTTTGATGATAGGGGGAATCGCACAGTTGCGATTTTCACAGGGTAGTAAATGCACTAAACTCCCTTATTTATTTATTTATTTATTTTCTTCGATAACTAACATTACATTAAATATTTATTATATAAATATACAAATAAATAAATAAAAGCTCTTTCATATAACCCCTCAATACTTCTTTTAATAGGGAGAGACTCAAACTATTTTGCACCATTTGAGAAAAGCCCCTTCCTAATTTCAGCCACCCATTTTTCCAATTATGCCCATGCCACATCATCAACATTATCACCAATTATGCCCCACCTCATCAGCCTTTTTTTTTATTTTTATTTTTTCGTTTTTTAACTTTTTTTTTTCTCTATCAGGTATAATAATCGACTATGAGATATAAGCATAGTAGATTAAGAATCTAACTACTTAAAATAACAAATCACAACTACAAAAAAATACAAAATCAACTATATTAACAAAAAAAAATATACAAACATTATAATTGATTTATACAATTGGAATCAATAAACAAAAAATTCAAAAAAAAAATAATTTGGAGTCGATTAACCTTAATCGACTACCAGAGCATAGTCGATTAACTTAATCGACTATGAACACGTACATGGTCGATTAAGGTTCCAGCATGCACAAATTTCTCTACCCGCGCCGTTATCTGCCCGATCCACTAAAAAATCCTAAATCTGCCTCCCCATCGTCACCACACCGCCGCCACACCACACTTCGTCAACCATAATGGGAGTTCAATCTCTCATTCTCCCAGTTTCAAGAACTGGAATCCTCCATTAACGACATTACTGAAGAACTCCATTAAAATATAACAAGCAGAAAATAGAGAAAAAAAACCACAGAGAAGAGAGAAGATGAAGAATCTGGAAATTCATACTTTGTTCCCAACAAACTGTAATCTTGTCAAAATCAACAGAAAATTCTGACAGATCTACTCACACTCATGACATATTTGCAGAAATTAATCCCAAAACAAACTGGGTGTTGCTTTTCTCTCTCTTCATTTCTTACGCGATTTATTGTAAGAAAAAAAAAGGATATTAATGTGTATACGGCTTCAATCCCGTTGATGATATGAGTGACGACCTTTTTCATATGTACAGAGAAGAAGAAGAGTAGAAAAAAGAGGAGACAGTACGTAGAGTAGAAGAAGAGGAGGAAAAAGGAGAGAGAGAGAGTGTACGTGACAAGAAGAAGAGGAGAAAGAGAGAGAGAGAGAGAGAGAGTGTACGTGAGAAGAAGAAAAGGAGGAAAAATGAGGAGAGAGAAAGAGGAAGATGAGGAGGAAAAATGAGGAGAGAGAAAGAAAAAGTGTACGATGTGGGTGAAATATTAGGTGAGAGGGTTTTCTCTAATTATTTTTTGGAGCGGTGTTTCCTTAACTACATTTCCTAAATGAGGGGATTCTTGTTAATTTTCCCTAAATAAAAATGTATATATATATCTATATATATATATATATATATATATATATATCAAAAATATTTATTTTAATATTTTTATTAAAGTAGACTTTAGTCTACTACATATGACTATAGTCAACTATAACATTTGTAGTTATGATCCTTCTTTTTATCCCAAAGTTGGGGTCGACCGATTATCTACATACATGAATAAAGCTAATTATGTACAAAAAAGAAAACTTCAATGTGCACCAACAAAAAAAATCACAATTTGAATCTTGATTATACATCAACTTGTAGCCAACAAATATAGATGAGGAAACACAATATACATAAATAACATGTATATGTTTTTCAACAAGAATGACTAAACATTAGAAAATACATAATAAATAATTTAGACGACTAAGCTATAGTCACGTATTCTCATCCTCCCATGAAGAATGGACATAAAGATCTAATGAACGTTCGTCACCATATTTGCCGTCCCAATCGTCTTTCAATTCCTCCGCACATCTCACAGCAAGAGGGTTGCAATCAACTACCTCAACCTGTTCAAGAAATCTACCAAATGCGAGAGGGATCTCTTTTAACTTGTAGCAATGTGCGATGCTAAGAGACTTAGTCACTGGGAGACACGAATAATTTTGAAACGTCCATTGCTCTAGATCAGTGTCTTTAACTGTAAGAGACTGAAGGCGTTGGAACTCGTTGTCACGAACTTCCCACTTTGGGCCTCGAAAGGCATAGCACAACAATGCCAGATTCTTAAGATTTGGCAACGAAGAAATCTTGCTCATTTCTTCCCATGGATATCCTAGACCAACCAAAATTAAAAGTGTAAGACTTGATGGGAAGTCTGAAAGGGGAGCAAGTGGGGCAACAATCTCAGCCTTGAGGGTAGGATTGACAATGACGCATTCTAGTGTTTTTAGTTTATGGAGATGGGAAACATGATCGAAGCAGCTCAAGGGATCGACGCTATCAGGGGCCAATTCGATTTGAATTCCTAACCTCATTAGATTAGGGATTCTTTCAAAAACGTCTTTGGTACAACTTTGAGGGTTCACGTTATAAAGTGTTAAGAGGTTTGGTAAGAAAGATTCTTCACGAGGATGTGATAGGTTGCTTCCCATGATTCGAAGATCCTTCAATTCTTTCATATCCCATATCTCCATTGGCATATCCGACGATCTTTTTTTAGCAGATTCTATGATGATCAGGTGTCGGTAGACAATCAACCACTGAAGGTTCCAGAGTTTGGATATGGAAGCAGGGAGGTTTCCGTTGTAAGTGAGGGCAAGGTATCTTACCTGAACTAATTTCAGTACTTCCATCGGAAACTCGTAGAATCTGATTGTAAGAGCGTGAAATACCCTGAGCAGCCTTAAAGGTTCCAAACATATTGGTACAGGATATTGATTATACGGACCACTACATAAGAGAGAACGCACCATAGAAACTGATGCCATTGAGTTGTACACATCTTTCATGGCAAATAAGATGCTATTTCGGATGCACAATCGCCGTTGGTTTTTAATTTTTATACCTTGTTCTGCTAAACCATCGCCAGAACCATTTAAGGCATAGAAAAACCTTCTCTTGGCAGCTTCTTTGTTACACAAATACCAAAACGATGAGTGGAGGCGACAACCGACTTCTTCCTTGTCCAACATAAGAACACTACTGGAAAAAAGCTCATACATATAATAATTACTAGCCTCTGCGAAAGTCCCAGCCAGTTCCATGTAATTAATTCTTTCACGAAATTGTTCAGCTGAATCGAGAAATCCTTCAGCGCTCCACAAGTTTGAGATGTCATTATAATGTATCCAATAATTCTGAGGGAAAGCTCCAGCGTAGAGAAAGCATGCTTTAAAATGTTGATCTAAGTAGTCATAGCTTGGATATAATACCTCTGACATTTGATCATATGCATCTACGAAAACCGAATGCTTCTTATTGGCAGCTACCTCGTTTAAGTACTCTGGATTCTTGTCGGCTTTGGATAGGATATCAGCAACAGTGACGATTGTAAGAGGAAGGCCTTCACAATGCTCGGCAATCTTCTTTCCAGCTTTCTCGAGTTCGTAAGAGCACGGATATTCTTCACCAAACACCTTGTCACGAAGAAGATCCCAACTTTCTTTCTTATTTAGGAAGGGTAATCTATATTCACAATTCTTGTATGCAATTTGAGCTACTTCATGTAACCTTGTTGTCACCAAGACTCTGCCTCGAATACCGCCAGCTGGAAATACGTTCACCAAGTCGCAACAGAGCTTTGCTTCCCATACATCATCCAACACAATCAAGTATCTCCGATCCTTTAAACTCTCGAACACCATCCTTTTCAACTCGGACAATAATTCTCCATCGATAATAATCATTTCCGAGTCGGGACTCACTTGTATTAGAATATCAAGCAAGAGTCCTTCCAACAGATATTTCGGGCCAATGGTGACAAACGCACGTCTTTCAAACGTACCCAAAATAAACGGATCTTGGAAGAGTTTCTTGGCTAGAGTAGTCTTACCAATTCCCGCCATACCATAGAGCGAGACAATAATCCGTGGACGGAGCGAATAGTTTGTCACAAACAAATGTTTGATTTGGATAAACTGATTAGATAATCCGACCATCTTTGACTCATTTCCACTAAAATCAATTCTTGACGGGATAACACGATTATGTTCTTCTTCGGGCAAAGGGTTGGATAACTCGTGAATGTAGGCTTCGTTCATCTTGTTAACCACTTTGATGAAGGAACCGATTTCCCGTATTAGTTCCTGCAGGTCCACGGAGAATAACAACGGAGAACGAATCTCGTCTTCGGCGATGCTTTGTTCGGATTGTGAAGGAAACTGATTCAAGACATGGGATTCAACTACATCTTCAAACTCACATACTGCATCCATGATTTCTCCCTCCAAAATTTTCACCCTCTTCATGTTCATGATGCTCTTCTTTGTGTTGAATCCTTCTAGAGTTTCGTGTAAAGAACGAGCCTCCTTGTATAGAAGTTCTATGGCATGTGTGCCGGAATTTTGAACAATCGAAATATGTGAAGAAGTTAAAAGGCGCTCAATTGTCTGCTGAAGAGAACTCACAGCAGCATAAGCCATCTCTCTCTCTCTCTCTCTCTCTCTCTCTCTCTCTCTCTCTCTCTCTCTCTCTCTCTCTCTCTCTCTCTGTGTCAACAGATCACAAAAATTCCATTGAACTGGTCTGGAACAACTGTTCTTATGATTAGTAAGGATGCGTGTGACAAAAGAGTCAAGTCAACCATATGAAATGATATTTAACGAGTGGTTGTAGACAAAATTTATTGGTCTCTGCAACTAGAGTTCACACTTGAACATTATTTGCCTCATATAATTTCTTCAATATTTCTATATTAATTAAACATTATTATTTATAACTAATAACATTTAAATTGAAATGAATGGTGCAAGAAAAAATAAATTATTATCTTTTTCACATCGAATCAACTAAAAGATACCAAGACTAGTATGTCCACTTAGACCCATTTAAGAGGACAATTAAAAGGCCTTTCAGTAGGCTTTAAAAAAGGCCCAACTCCCACACGACTGCTAAAGTGAAAACTTTCTCACTCTCCTCTTTGAATGTGTCAATTATAAATATGGGGATTATTTCACGAGCCTTATGAGATCCCACACCTGATGAAAGACACTACGTGGTTTTAAATTATATATATATATATATATATATATATATATATATATATATATAATAATTATCAACTAAGCACATATACATAAGGATGTTTGTTAACGGTAGATTAATATTAATGATGTAAAACTAGTGTAGGTTCTACAAAACCTGATTCACAGTCTCAACGTAAGTGCTACTTCTTGAACGAACTTGGGAATGTTAGCTTCTGCAAAGCATTATCCAGACCATATGAAAAGCACGTAAGTGATTCAAGTTTATGCAAGTACTTGCTAATATTGTGGAGCGACTAGTCATTTGGGCTTTTCGAGTGTTTATTATACTCTATGTTCAATTTCCTGACATTGAGGTCTCTCTTACAAACCTCCTCGCTCCACACGAAATCTAGCACGATAAATCGTAAGTATTTGTAGATTTTGCAAAACACTTTTCATCCTGTCTTGTCTTTAGTCACCACTCTGAGGAGGATTGAGAAGGTGTAGTTGATATATATCCACATGCCTAAGTTGTCGCATCTCCCAAATTTCACATGGTGCTTTAATCTTGTTTCTCCAAATAATTATTGTTTGCAAATTCCAGAGGACGCCTATTGACGAAGGAAGCTTGACAACAGAGGAGGATGCTATGAATTTCTTATGAGCAAGATACCGCATGTTAACTTGATCAACAATATGCCATCGTAAATAACGTTTCAAATAACGTTTCTTGCGTTGACCGTTGCGTGACATTACTCTCAACAATCTATTGTTGGAGAATCGACCATCTTTTAATTATTTTGCAAAAAAATATTTAAAGAAGGGGGTTATTATTAATGGTGCAAATTTAGACCGGATGACCTGTTATAATACGAAAATCGGATGTCATAGGATGGTTGACAAGTGGATGTTTCAAATAAAAATATAATTATGATTCTAATAATTGGAGAAAAAAAAAAAAAAACCCATCATAATCCGTAACCCCTCTAACCCTAATTATAATAATTATAATACCGTGATTTATTAAAAGTTCAGACTTAAGAGTACCACATGTCAAAAAATTAGTGGAATCCGATTTATATTAAATATCGGCTGATCCGCTCAGAATTTAATCTCTATCATTAATTATTTCCAAAAGTTGGACCTAGTCAGTGCAATTTCAAAACCGGGGATTTTCACTAATTTTCCCATTTGTTTTAGATGTCACACAACACATCTACAAACAAATTCAAATAAATATAAAATAGTGAGTTACATTAATTATATTTTCTTCGTATGGTATATATAATCTTGCACAAAAGTATTTCTAATTTACCGAAACAATTAATTAAACATATTGCAGAAAAAACTATTACAAGAGCTCCACACTGAACTAGTTATGTCTTGGTGCTCTCCACCCAATTTCAATCAAACTAAATTTGAAGAAAACATCTACATAAAGATAATAGTAAGAACAGTTTTATTTAGCCAACACAACATACTAACATCTAAGACCACTGTTAATAATAGCCCATGGCATATATGAATGTCAGCCAAAGATTAACATATGTTCATCAATACAATCACACATTATTATTTACAGGCTGTCAACGATGAATTGACGTCGAGACACTAAGGAACTTTCGTTTTCTTTTCCCGTCCATCTCTTGTGCACAAGCCACAACCAAAGGGTTGCGGTCAACCAGTTTGATGCTCAGACCAAAAATTTCACCAAAACTCGAAGGGATCATTTCTAGTCTATGGCAGCGTCTCATGGTCAGATGCTCGAGGCATCGAAAGGTTTTAATCCCAACCGTCCATTGCATCAGATCAGAGTCTTCGATCACAAGAACCTTTAGTGATTTAAACGCCCTGTCTCGAGTCTCCCATTTCGGTCCTCGAAAGGCATAGCGTCTCAGTTTCAGCACTTGAAGACTCCACATTGAAGAAATCGTGCTCATATCTTCCCACGGATATCCAAACCCACTCAAACTCAACTTCACAACACGCGAATCGAAATTTGTAACAATTGGAGCCTGTGGCAGAACAACAAACTCGCACCTCGGTATAGGATTTAGAACGACACATTTGAGTGAACTTAAACTGACACGAGAGATAAAATCTAGTAAGTGATTCGATGATTCATTAGCATCAACCGACAAATCGAATCGAATCCTTAGCTTTGATAGAAGAGGGATTCTTTCTAGAAGTTCTTTAGTACAACAACGGGGACTCACATCTAAAAGTGTTACGAGATTTGGCAAGAGGGCCCCACAAGGATCCGGGAGATTACTCCCCGTTATCTGGAGATGCTTTAGCTCTTGCATTTCCCATATTTCTATAGGCAAATAGGATAAATCCTTACAAGAATTAATGATGCTTAAATGTCGAAGGATAATCAAGAACTGAAGGTTTCGAAGTTTTGATATAGAAGAAGGGATGTTTCCATCGTAAGTGAGGGCAAGGTACCTCAGCTGAACTAGTTTCAGTATTTCCATTGGGAACTCGTACATACGGATTGTAAGTGCATCAAATACCCTCAACAACCTTAAATACTCCAAACTAATAGGTACCGGGTATTTGTGATATGGACCAAAACATAGGAGTGAGCGTGTGCGCGAAACGGATGCTATCGACTTATACACTTCTTTATTAATTACAAAATGAATATTTTTGTGGACGCACAATCGGCGTTCGTGTTCCACAGCCTCTGCTATACCATTTACGACATGGAAAAAATTGTTCTTCTCAGCTTCTTTGCTACACAAATGCCAAAATACAGAATGGAGACCGCAAGTTTTGATTTGATGAATTGGTGATCTATAAGGAGAATGTAAGCTCTTCTTGTGCACCATAACAAGGCTTTTCGTCACAAGCTCCTCCAAACATTGCATAGCCGAGTGTTCGAGAAATCCCTCAGCGCTCCATAAATTGATGAGCTTGGAACGGGTAATCTCATAGTTTTGTGGGAAAATTCCCATATATAGAAAGCATGCTTTTAAATGTTGAGGCAAGTATTCATAGCTCGAAAATAGTACCTTTGACATAATTTGATCATTCGCATCCATGAAAACGGAATTGTCTCTATCTGCTGCTTTCCTCCAGTACTCTGGCGTCTTGTCAGCTTCGGATAAGATATTGGCAACAGTAATGATTAGAAGAGGAAGACCTTCACAATTTTCAGCAATCTTCTTTCCAGCTTTCTCAAGATGAGAAGGGCATAGCCCACTCAACAAACACCTTCTGACAAAGAAGATCCCAACTTTCTTCTTTGTTCAGTAACCGGATTTTGTAATCGTCACTACTATAAACAATCATATTTTGTAGCCTAGTTGTCATGAAGACTCGAAATCCACTTTTGTTGTACGGAAACAACCTTCTCAAGTCATTCCAAACTTGGGTCGTCCATACATCATCCAACACAACGAGGTATGTTTTACCCTTTAAATTTTGGTAAATCATTTTTTTCAAATCATCCAATTTCCTCGTTTTGTCAATCTCGGGATTCACTTGAGCTAAAATACCAATAAGAATATCTTTTAACCGATATTTTTGGCCTACGGTGACAAAAGCACGACAATCGAAATGACTCACAATCAACGGATCTTCAAAGAGCTGTGTAGCAAGAGTGGTCTTACCAATGCCCGCCATTCCAACAAGCGTGTGGTAACAAGGTCCCGTTGGATCTAAAAGCCACGTTTGGATTTCTTGAAATTGATCGGAAAGTCCAACCATTTTCGATTTTTTTCCGCGACAACCAATCGTTGATGAAACGGCATCATACTCTTGGCACGGCAAGTTGATGTACTCGTCCTCCATCTTCTTGATTTCTTCGTTGAAGGAATCAATCTCTTGCTTTAGTTCCACCATGTCTAGGGAGAGTAGTAAGTAGTAACAATGGATGACATTGTTCCGATTGAGAAAGAAACTGGTTTGAGACGTGTGATTCGATTACGTCTTCTAATTTACGCACCGCCTCTCTGATTTCTCCATCCAAAGCATCCACCCTCTCGCTGCTGCTGCTGATATTATCGTCGAATCTTTTGAGGACATGTTGTAAGGACTGAACATGTTTGTATGCGGATTTAATGATTTTCTTTGAGGGTGGAACAAACGAAATTTCGGAAGATTTTAGAAGGCGCTCGATTACGGATTTTAGAGATATCACAGCAGCATAAGCCATGTCTCTCCTTTTCTCTTTCTTTCTCCCAATAATTAGATATAATATAAATGAGAGCTGGTTAATTTGCAGAGACGTACTAAGTCAACCGTTGTGTTTACAACTTGTTGCCCAAGATTTTGCTGACCATTTTTGGACAACTAAATCATTAATATAATATTTCTCCATTTTACAAATTCTGGCTACATAAAATAGGGAAAATTACATTTTTCGTTCTCAAACTTTATTGACTTTTTCGATATTGTCCTTAAACATTTTTTAGTTACACTAGAAAGGTGCGCGTGCGTTGCACGCGTCGTATCAATTTTTCTACTATTATAATTTATATATGATAATTGCATTGTTATTAGAGTAATATTTTGTGACATTGATAATTATTTGGAATAGAATATCATTGATAAATAATTTCATACGGTTTTTCCTATGTATATTTACGACCCTATTATTTTTTTATCTTTTCATTTCAATTATTACAATTTTTACTTATCATCGTTGTTATAAAATTGAATGATATTTACTTGCTTCTTAGTTATTTTTTTGACATTTATTTTACCGGAACTCGCATTCATTTCTTCCTTGTAGCCGAGTGAATTGTGTTTTGAACCTCAAAATTGAAACTAATTGACATTTTGAACCCAAAGATTTGAAAAGTTGACAAAGTTCACCCATAAATTATATATCTCATGGGAAAATGCACCCTACATAATTTTTTGTGAGACTTTAACCAAAAAAGTTAATATAGCACAATATTTTAACTTTGAAAAAAAATATCATTCTTGTTTATATTTTATTTCATACTTCATATTTTTTAATTATTTTATTTGTATTAAGAATTTAAAAACATAATTGATGTTTTATTTGAGTTTCATAGTGCCGTAAAAAAATATATAATTTCAAAAACTTCTTATTTTGATTCAGTTCTAATGTACAAAATAATTCAAAAATCTCATTTTTTCATAAACTTACAAAATATATTACAAGAAATGAAGAAATTAAACAAAATCATGGGGAACATTTTTATTTTGGGAAAACAAAAAAAGGCATAGCTGATGAAAAATAAATATATTAAAACAAAAGTGTTAAACAAAATTATTTTTTAGCGGTGAAAAATGACCTAAATATCCATTATAATTTAAAAGGTTTTAGATCCGTATGTAGAGTTCTCAAAAAATATTTCACCTTTTTTGAGATAATTATTTTCAAATTGTAATCTCAATTTTAATTAATAAGTAAAATAAAATAATTAGTTAACATTTTTTATCTATATAATTTCAAGTATAATAATAATAATATAAAAATATGAAATAAAAACTATAATATACATCAAACATTAAGATTCCTTCAAAAGTTAAACCATCGTGAAATACTGAATTTTGGTTAAAATATCATAAGAATTTAATGTAGGCTGTAGTTTGCCATGAAAAATATCATTTGAGGGTGGACTTTGCAATTTTTGAAATATTAGGATGTAAATCGTCAATTAGAGTCAATTTTGGGTGCGAAATGCAATTCACAATTTCCCACTCTCAATGAAACTATTTTACTATTTCTTTTTACTAAAATAGTTATTAATGTTGTTGGGTTTATTTGTTTCTTCTTTTCCGTGGTCAATTTTCATCATTCGTTAATTCATTTACTTGAATAATAAATATAATTTATTGGATGTTTGCAGACTTAGTTTTATATAGCACGTTGACGTATCAGTCTAACCATGCATCATTTGTGTAAACGATATTAATGAAGATATTTTTTCCCCAAACGTATTATTTTTTGTCCATTTGTTAAGTTTTAGGTGCATTACTGTTTGATCTCCTGTGTTTTTTTTTTTTTTTTTTTTTTTTTTCATTCAGTTGTAGCTTATGAAATACATTTGTTTATGGGCTACGACATGTGAATTTCCTACGAGCTCGTTGTAAGTTCATCTTCGCCAATTAGAGTCAATTTTGGGTGCGAAATAAGAGTGGTTTTTTAGTCGTTTTATTATGATTTAGAATCCATGCACATTTATTAGTTTTCTTAATACGTGTGAGTTAACCCAAAAATACAATTAAAATGGAATGGAGGGAGTAAATATTATTCAAGTTATAATGTTTACCATATCATAAATAAAAATAAATTGAATAATAAATACCGAATACTTTCTAATTTTCATATGTTTATAGTATTTTTTTTTTCTCTTTATTCTCTTAATGTACTATACATGTATATTACAATTATCGAAGAAAGTAGATTAGTTTTATCTAAACGATAAAAATATTAACATTATAAATAATAGTTTCAAAGGTTAATTATTCAGGCCCGAAGTATGCGAAATAAACAAAAATGAAATTAACATTGAATTTTGATTATTTTGAATTAATATATTCAGACAAAACCTAAAATGAAATAACATTCATTCTATCTTGTAACGAATTATTTTTATTAAAGAAATGGAAAATGAAATTACATTCTATTTTGTAAAAAAAAAAAAAAGTGTATTTATTATTTGGCTAGAAAGTCAAAAATGAAATAACTCTATCTTGATTATATTTTCAATTAATATATTACAAAAATGGTAAAAATATTTTTATTTGTTATTTGTCTTGAAAGTAAAAAATGAAATAACTCTATCTTGATTATATTTTCAATTAATATATTACAAAAATGGTAAATGAAATTACATTCTATCTTAAATAAAATATTTGTTTTATTTTTTATTTGACTTAAAAATGCAAAAATAAAAATTGTAATTGTTAAACTTCGAGTTTAATCATGAAATCCGTATGTATTATTAAGTAATACATAATTTATATTATGATAATTAATCTTTAGTAAATAAACTTTTCGTATTTATAAAAATACTAAATTAAATGAATTTCTTTAATGTTTTCTTTGTAGAGAATGATAAATGTAAGTTGATCTATTTATTATTTAAATTGTTAATGACTCAATTGGCCATAATCACTTAATGTTATAATTGAGTAACATAGGGGTATAATAGGCATTATATAAAAGGGAAGAAACCACCACCCTATTCATCCTTTTATATATAGCATAGAATAGTCGTCCCTAATGATGCCATTTTTTAACAAAAGTGATCCACCGTTTAGTTTTTCTGTTAAGTTAACGGAAACTACACATGTTACTCACGTGACTTCTATTTTTCACACAACAAAGAAAAGAAAGGGATTTTAACACGGTGCAACGGATGTTGTTAAAACAGAAATACAAGAAAAAATGGCTTATCAACAAGAAAGGCCAATATCTTTCTCTCCATAAATCATATGTGCTACATCATGACCACCACCGCAGTCTGTGACACTTGCAGCAGACCTTCATCTGCATTCCTAACTCTGGGAAAAGGCGGCTCCGACCGGCCTAAAAAATGCCCCATGTATGCCCTAAAGCTAGGCTTATGCATCAATCTACTTGGTCATGATCGGTGGTTGAGTTAAACTATTCTTTTGTTTATATATCTCTGTTTGGGAATTACTAAATCTTTAGATTAAAAATTTATTAACATATTTTTTTGGAAATAGAATCCAGGAGAGTACCAAGGAATTAAGAATTTGTTCATACAGTTAGTTTGGTAGCTAGGCCTCGCGACTTTCGCCATGTTTCTTACTTTGTATATCCTGCTCCTAAAAATTGAAACTTCGAAAGATAAGTGCTCAAATAATGCGTTTTTGCCATTCTCCGTTTCTTGGTAGAACTCCTTGTTCGGTGGAATCCACACAAAAAAATAATACATGTTCGCGCACCCATGAAACTAAAGCCATACGAAGGTAAACAACGAATATATATTTATGCACCATTAGTTTGTTTAATTTAATGTTTAAGACATCATGTGTGGTTACATTTTGAATATGTTAAGAGGTTTAATGATTTTGTGTGAGGGTCGTTGCTCTCCTTTTTATTTGATTCTCAATTATGTAATTCTCATAAAGAACAAGTGGTTGTGGTTCTTACTTGTGTCTGATAAGTGAAAGAAAAGAATAGAAAAGAAAGAATAAAAAGTTGTATTTGGAAGGGCTGATTATGGTACGGTGTTGTTTCTCTTTTTTAAATATATTTTTGTAGATTTTGTTGTCTTTTATAATATGTTTTGTTTTATTTCCTTCTGGTTCATATCAAAATTGCATACAATTTTTATGTCTAAATCAACTAATTATGAGATTTACCTTGTATTTTGGGTTTAACAAGATGCAATGCATGTTGTTAAAACACTTTATTTTCCTGTAGTGTGACATTAGAAGTTACGTGGGTGGCACGTACAACTTCCATCCAATTTAACTGGAAAATTGAACGGTGGACCATTTTTGTTAAAAAATTGCATCATTAAGGACTACTATTGTAACTCGAAAATGTTTAGGGAAAATCTCGAAAAAGTGAGTAAAGTTTGAGGACGAAAAATGTAATTTTCCCCATAAAATACAATGCAATGTTTGTTTATTAAATGTGGGGTAAACAGCATAAAATCCCTCTGTGTTAAAGAAAACTTGCGCCAACTCCCATGTGTTTTTTTTCTTGCGTAAAACCCCGTTGTGTTTCATTTTACTTTGCACAAAATCCCCTTTTCCGTTAAAATCTAAAGCCGTTAGCTACAAAGGGGATTTTATGCAATTTATATTTAACATAGGGGGATTTATGGCATATTTTCTACAATACAAGGAAGTTTTATGCAAAATTAATTTATTCGTTTAAATTTCAT